TGCAGCAAGCTGGCCTTTGTCTAGTTTTTGCATAGTAAGATGGGCATTTCATACTATTTTCTACATAATCTGGGTCAGAAAAGTCAACAGCTGTTTCATATTCTGGAGAGGGGAATAGTGATTCAGCTTCAGAGGATCTAGCATAATCCTTATTTACCCTCTGTTTGAAGGGGAATTCTTGACAAGGGGTGCCCACACTACTAACATCCTGGGCTGACATCTCGTGGGAGGGCAAGGCACTTCTGTTATAGCCAGGTATTTGAGCATCAAGCCATGAACGTGTCTCCAAATGTGAATCATAGGTCTGATCCACACTTTTGGGTAGACAATATGGCTGTCTGCAATTGGCAGAAAACTCAGTGCTTTGAGATGATTTGTCTGATAAACTGAACATATCAGATTTATCAACAACTTGGATTTTGCAAGGAGGGGATTTACTAGATTCACATAAAACTCTATCATTAGGCCTCTTTAAATCTTGTCTACAAAGGGTACTTTCGGGTTGATGCACATATTCATAACTTTTAGACTTAATATTCGAGCAAGGAACAGTCTGGTCAGTTAAAAATTCAGCATGTTTCAACTTGTTAGGTTCATTTAATTGAGTAATCTCTTTTGCAACTAATGGGGCATTTGAAGCCTGGAAATCCATTTTGAGATCAAATGGCTGATCAGCTGATGTAGTCTTTTTAGGCAAACTTTTATTGTATTTAGGGTCATAATACATTGAGGGTAGTATTCTATCAGGTGGGATCATTAAAGGGCTTTGTAAAGTCTGTTCTGACAGTTAAGCGCCGTATGCTCCCTGAAGCACGTCACCTTCATGATGTGTCAGTGGCACTGGAGCAAGGGGTGGAACCTGGTAGTTGACTTGCACATCCTTTACTACTCCCATTTTGCTAGAATGACCTAACAAATCATAGTTTGGCTTTGTATAGTTATCTTTTCTCTCTTGTTTGACATTAATTGGGGACTTCAGTGTCAAATTACGGGAATGAGAGAAATCTGGGGTCTTTGGTCTAAATCTGGGAATGTCAGTTATCTTAATTGGGGGAAGTAAGGGTCTAAATGGAGAGGAATGAAGTTTGTTTGGCCAGCTCTGTGGCTCATTTTTCCGATTCGCAGTTGGTAATAGAGGAAAAGTATGCATTGAATGTTTGCTGGGGTTTGAATCAGAAAAACTGCCATGACTTGCAGATCTTCCATGAGTAGAAACCTTTGTGGATGTCTTTAAACCCTGTCCAGACTTTCTACCAGCTGTATGAGTAGATGCACTGGACGGCTTACCAGAGTAAGCATGAGGGTGTGTTTGGACATCTAAGGGTTTTCTAAATTGGAATGTTCCCCTTGTTGACAGTTTATCCAATGGCTTTTGCAATTCAGAGGACTGAGCAATTTGAGAATCACGTTTCCTTTCATACTTAGGGTGTAAAACTCTTTGATCTTTAGTCCCAAAATCCGTTTTCAGATAGGGGGCTAAACTGAGGGGTGAAAAAGCTTGTTTAGCAGTAGCTCTTGTTCCATAGGCTGGAAGAGGCTTTAAAGGAGGTGTTTTAGATGGCATTCCCCCATAAGCACCCATCAAGGTTTCCTTTTCAAGGGACCCAGGTGCACCAGCTATGGGGGGTTCATATGACCCACCTCTACTACTCATACTTTTTTCACCATTTTTTGAAGATACCAAATTCAAGTCACTTTTTGGGTCTTTAGTATCCTGCTTAACCATTTTAAGCAGGGGATTAAACAACCTACCCTTGGGAAGTGGTCTAGGCCTATCTAACGGTAATTTAGGAATGCGTGGCAATTTGACAGGCGGAGAAACCTTAAAAGATGGTGTCTTTATTGGGGGTGGTGTAGTTGCTGATGATTTAAGTGGAAGTGTATCGTCTTGAGCAAATTTCAACTCTTGTTCATTAAGGTGTTGATGGCCCAATACAACTTCAAAATCATCAAACCACCCGGGGATAATAGTGTCAAAAGCTTCCGCCTGCAATTTCTGGCTAGACAAGGGTCTTTCAGTGGATTCGGACATGTGTAATGGGGTGCGCTTAGCGAGATTAAAAATGTCCGACTTTTCCGACATTGTCAATTACAGTTAATGATCCCGCTTTGAATATTAATGAGCGCAAATTAGCATAAACATAAGTAATGGCGTTAAACTGGGCTTGGGTCAATACGTCAAGTATTACATCCCACCGCTGCCACCATTTCTGTCACGACCCTCGTGTGGTAGCGTGGTTTGGGGGTCGCAAACAGAATACAGTCTAAGAATCAATAGTTTGATTTGATGTTTTCATTAACTTAGTTTCGGGACAAGTTCAAGTAAAAGTTGAAATGTGTATCCCTATTTATGTGAACAACATCCGTGTTCACAGTATCATAACAAAATGGGATCAAATTGGGATAAATTTTGCGATGAAAATTTAGGGATAAATTAGGGATAAATCCTGGGATAAATTTTCCGATGAAAATGTAGGGATAAATTAGGGATAAATTCTGGGATAAAAATAATTGGGATGAAGTGGGACAATTTCGGGATAACAATTTCGGGATAACAAAATCTGAATATAGACTAAGTAAGATTTGTCAGTTTTCAATGTAAGTTGTATGTCTCATAAAGGCGAATGGCAACAGACTCCAGATTCTGAATGTGCCCAGTGTTAAGTTGTATCAAATAAGTATAATGTTAGGGTGTGAGTATAACCAGGTGGAAGTCCTAGCCACAAGAGGGCTACGATGGACTTCAAGCTGTATATTAAGCTCGCTGGTCACAATAAAAGTGGGAAAGTTTGTAAGAATTAAAGTTGGGCTATTTCAAATCACTGAGTCTGTCAAACTCATCAGGGGATAATATTACTTGTACACCATTTAAACAAGCAAGTAAGAAAACATTGGAAGTAAATGATGTTTGAGGTAACGACTTGGAACCAGGGTGAATGAAATTCTCACTAATATTCTCAATAAGACAAAGGTTAAATAAGAAAGTAAGATCCTGGATTGTACTTTAGCTCTGCACTATTGCATAGTTTCTGGGAAAATATATGTATGACTTATTGTGAGTGATTGTTATTCAAAGAAGCCCTTAGCAAATATGAGCTAAGATAAAGCTTGTTGCTTGAATGTTAGTATCACTTAAGTCACCTGGAATTTAGTCGGAATCTATTTTGAATCCAGAATCTACTTCAGATAAAATGAAAGGGAAATTTTCTAACATATATATAAACAATCGAACACAACAAGTGATATTCTGTGGATTTTTATATAATGTATAAAAACGACTCTATTTCTATTTACTAATCTACACAAACATTACACAATTCAGTACTGCCGAGATGGTATATCAAGTAAATAATCTCTCAAACCAAACATGCATAAAACAGCACAGCTAATGGAAGTTCAGTTAAACAATTTGCAACAAAGCCTAAAATGTGTCTTTCTCAAAAATGTAACTCAACAGTGCAATTTTATATAATCCCTGGTGGGGTTGAAATCAGCTCTCTATACTACTCACATGAAAAGTGGAACATCATTTTGCCACTATCAGACTATGGTACAATTGGCAAACAAATGGGAAACAGTATTTTAAAAGTATTTCTAGTATCTATAATGAATTACAATGTGGTTAACATAGAATTAGACCAGACATGGAAAACTAGAAGGGGAGGGGGTGTCTTAAGTCCGAAATGGGCTTCGAATGACCATGACCCTTAAAAGTACTTCAATGATCAGTTGTTTGATAATGGTTCCATAAGCCCGGGATTTCACCTTTAAATTACCCAAAATTTAACATACAAATATACAAAGGAGTATTTCTAGTGTATCAATAAAATTTACCCTGTGAACAAACTAAATACAGTCCCAAACTGGATGGGGGGGGGGGAATGTCGTATAGAGATGTCTATGAACCCCTGGAATTTGCAGTTGACTCTGGTTTAGAGCAAGTTACATTAGGTTCGTAAAGACCGTAACTTTTCGTACACCTTGTCAAATATTCCTAAACGATTCCCTGTGGGGATGTTGTATGGAAGGTTTCATAAAGAACCCCGGGAACTTGCTTTCGACGCTGGTTAATAAGTTACATAGGTTCTTTAAGACAAAAACTCTGCGTGTAACTTTGCGTTAACCTTGTCAAATGTTCCTTAACAATCCCTGGGACAATTTAAACATGGGATGTTCACAAGGCAAATAAATAAAATTAAGGAAAAAATCAAGTGTACAGATACTTCTTTTCAAAGACCAGAACTCTGCAAAAATACAATCAAATCAAGTCAATTACCTTTACCAACTCGTACACCTAAGTTGGTTTATCTGCGGCAATATAAATATCCAATTTTAGTGACGATTTAATGTTTAAAATTCCACAAAATGTTTTCCATGTCTGGCCGGCTTGAATTCGAATCATAAAAGCACAGAAAAAGACAATTCACTTAAAACGTACTTATTTACTTAAATCAAGCTTAATAAGCCTCACTTTGGATTTTGTAGACAAACCCAGACAACTGCCCTTTCTAAAAAGTTTGTAACGTAGCATTAAACATGAAACTGGGCCGAAAACCTTCACATTACTACTCTTATTATGAACAAAATATATATGTTGACATTAATCCTGTAAATAATATTACATGAAAAACACAGGAGAAGGTTATTAACCTAAATATGAATATAGAGTAAAATGATTAAACTTTAACCATACTTTAAGAGTATAGCCAAAGTAGTTTTACAGACTACCCTTTTACAGAATTTAAATTATTTTATAACTCTTGAAATATTGAGTAACTAAAAACACAATTGATAAAGTGAAGAGCAAAAAGTTGAAAACAAAGTGACAATCCTTCAAGGCAATTCCATTACCATGCTCAAAGTAATCTGAAGGATCGTCACAGTATGATTAAATAAGAACATCCTGTTTATTTAAAATTCCCGCTTAATATTAACCAATCAGATACGTTGTAACAGAAGGCTCCATAGATGAATATTATCAGCCAATCAAAACGAGGTTTATAAACGGTTAGGTTTTAATGCCAAATATTGTGTTTACGAAAATATCAAAATATTGTAATTAAAAACTGAAATGCATACATAATCCCTGCAGGGAAATCCGAGCAACTTGCTATTAAGACACATAAAGGTAAGAGTCTTGCAAAATATAGCCAAGAATGTATCTGATTGATAAATGTATGATCTGAGAAGTTTCCAAAGTATTTTGTCAAAATTTTTACGTTTTTTTTCTGCAAGAATCTCGTGATTTCATGATTTTCATGTAATGATGACTTTACTGAGGAATTTCATCCCATTTTATTGTTTTATTTCGTCAGTAGAACCCCAAAAATAAGAAATCAGGAGACCATTGTGCAATAATATATGGAAAAGAATATTCATATTGTACATGAATGAATTGGGCGTAGGGCTATATTTTGAGATGGTACACACACTCGGGGATGCCTGATTGCGTGGCCGAAGGCCGCGCATGGGGGGGGGGTGGTCCTTGAAAAAAAATTTCCCGGGGGAGCATATGTATGCTCCCCCGGGAAATCTTTTTTTAAGGATGTTATTTGATGGAATCTAAGCGTTTTTAGCTCACATGATGAGCTTTTGCAATCACTCACTTGTCTGTCTGTGCGTCCGTCCGTCCGTGCGTCCGTCCGTGCGTCCATCCGTCAACAATAGTGGCATGTTTTAAAACCTCTGTCGATAGGATTCCTGTTTTAAGTTATTTTTGTTCAACATCAATGCTGAAAACTCCCCTATGACTCCTGGTTCAAAAACTCGCCTAGATGGCGAGGCAAAAATTCATTTTTGACCCACTTCCTAGCTTTACAAATAATATCAGGTGTCCTGCATTGTAAACATCCATGTCAATGTGAAGAGTAGTTGTATGAAATAATTTTGTTACAAATAATCAGCAAAAAATTGTGTCAGTTTTTTTATTTTCATCCATTTTAGTTAACATTGATTTGTCCATCTGACTTGCGAAATCCACTTTCCGTCCCCTTTAGCATACGGTAAGCTAATTCCATTTATAGGTGGCAGTCATATGATAAAAATTCAGGATATGTTAACATAGAAGTTTGGGGATTTTATAGATTTTTCACCCTTTCTTTGATTTTTTTCACCAAAATGTATCTTCAAATTACCAAGTGCAGTGAAAGAAATTGCCATCAAAATGGTAATTTGATGATTGATGGTTTTTGTTTTATCTTTTCTCAGGAAAGATGTGTAATGTAACATGTTTGACAAAATCAATTTTTTAATCAATTTTTAAATCAGAAAAGGCTCAGGGGTGTATTCAGGATTTTCCAAGGGTGTGTGTCTACATCTTAAAACAGTGTTTATCATCATAGATTGCACTTGAAGCCTAGCTCTACACATTTTTCTTCACCTTATCCAATTCTCCTCATTATTTTTTGTAGAATCAACAGGCCCGTAGCCAGGATTTTCCAAGGGGGTTCAGTTTTCAAAAGTTTCTATGGGGGGTTCACATTTGACAATTTTGGCCCAAATATGGCTAAAATCACTTGAGAAGTGCTCAAAATGGTGAAAAACTGCATGATTTTGAAAGAATTTTTGGCCAGGGGGGAACCCTGAAAACGCAAACCTCCCCTGGCTACGGGCCTGATCAAGAAAACTTCACAATTTATTCTTGTACTGCGTGAGATGTTTTGTTTTAAATACCAAAGATATTGATCCATGTAACAGATATTGGCTGGTAACCTTCACTCCTGTCCAATCACACCAGGAGTAAATGCCATTGAAAATGGCCTTAGCGTATCATTTTCTTAAATACATGTTTTCTTTTATATTTTAATGTTGCATTAAGATTACTTGATAATATTTAATGTGTCCATCATAAATGGAAGTGTAAGTGAGATTTAGACTAATGGGGTTCTCTTATTTTTTGACAATTAAAAGATAATTGTTAATTTTTGTTGTTTGACGCTATGATAGATTCACCGATCCTGTAGCCCAATTTTTATTTTGTCAAAACCCCTACCCCTTCCTGTGATGGGGTCCCATACAAACCTTTGAATGGTGCATTTTATTCTTCATTATTCTTACATGATAAACATTGAGCATCTTAGTGCCAGGTCAGAGCGCTAGATCAATACTAATTCTGATTCATTACTATGTTCAATTACTTTCAACAGCTCTCATTCTATATGCATTATTGCTTAGTTTAGCCTGGCATCCCTATCATAAAATGGTGGTCATGCTTTGAAATTCAAAATATGATGGCATAGAGTGAGGTAAACAAGGAATAATAGAAAGAAAACATACACTAAGAAGCTTCACTTGGCTGTATGAAAATCTGAGAAAGTGACTTTTATTGAAATTTCTGGGGGTAGTGAGAGGATAAGGCATCAGCTGATGTTTACATTACATAGACCCTATAGATATTTTATAGAGGCCATTGAATGCTTTCATTTGATATTAAAACATGTATTTTGTAAAAATGTGTATATTTCATCAATATTGTTAATTACAAATTGAGGGTTAATTTTTATGTCAGTCATCATGTATCAGTATTTAATCTGTAACATTTCCCCCCATTTAGAAGGATGTTCGTCCCTTACATTATTTCACTTAGAACGTATTGATTATTCTTGTAGAGCATGTAACAATTGAAACCAATAGAGTCTATTGATGGACCACGAATCGTAATATAAATTATTATGTTGCTAGAACTCTGCAATCAGTTAAGTAGCTAGTTTTATTTAAGAGTTTATCCAATATGGATCGTAATATTGAATCCTTATAACATCATATAAATCAACGCATCCTTGGAATTGGAATAATACTTGATAAATTTGCAGACATAGATATGGATTTATTTGTAAAAAACATTGTACAGATTAAAGATTGACAGCATACTACCTCCTCAAAAGGGATTATCATTATTGGTGAGTACCAGCTCATGTAAAGTTGACTTGACCTTGATAAAGCATACAGATTCATGTTTGGTATATCTAGAGGCATTCTGACCTTTTCAATTCTATGAAAAAGGGAAATTCTCAGCCAAATGGTTTCATTTTCAAATGATTCAACTTAAATGATTTTATAAAGCAACCACCCTTCCATACATGCTGATGTTCCTTATAAAACCATGAGTTGCACATCTATTTTGCATGCAGTTACATTATTAATTTTTTTTTGAGCATGTGCATTATTGCTGAGCATGAACATAAATGTGTACCATGTTATTGTTGAGCATTATTGTTGATCATTCATCTTATTGTTGAACATTCTTATTGAGCTTGTACATTATTGTTGAGATTGTACATTGTTATTGAGCATGTGTATTATTGTTGAGATTGTACATTGTTATTGAGCATGTGTATTATTGTTGAGATTGTACATTGTTATTGAGCATGTGTATTATTGTTGAGATTGTACATTGTTATTGAGCATGTGCATTATTGTTAAGCTTGGGTATTATTGTTGAGTTTGTGTATTATTGTTGAGCTTGTGTATTATTGTTAAGCATGCATCATTGTTGAGCTTGTGTATTATTGTTGACCTTGTGTATTATTGTTGACCTTGTGTATTATTGTTGAGCTTGTGTATTATTGTTGAGCTTGTGTATTATTGTTGAGCTTGTGTATTATTGTTGAGCTTGTGTATTATTGTTGAGCTTGTGTATTATTGTTGAGTTTGTGTATTATTGTTGAGCTTGTGTATTATTGTTGAGCTTGTGTATTATTGTTGAGTTTGTGCATTATTGTTGAGCTTGTGTATTATTGTTGAGTTTGTGTATTATTGTTGAGCTTGTATATTATTGTTGAGCTTGTGTATTATTGTTGAGTTTGTGTATTATTGTTAAGCTTGTGTATTATTGTTGAGCTTGTGTATTATTGTTGGGCTTGTGTATTATTGTTGAGCTTGTGTATTATTGTTGGGATTGTGTATTATTGTTGAGCTTGTGTATTATTGTTGAGCTTGTGCATTATTGTTGAGCTTGTGTATTATTGTTGAGCTTGTGTATTATTGTTGAGCTTGTGCATTATTGTTGAGCTTGTGCATTATTGTTGAGCTTGTATATTATTGTTGAGCTTGTGCATTATTGTTGAGCTTGTGCATTATTGTTGAGCTTGTATATTATTGTTGGGCTTGTGTATTATTGTTGAGCTTGTGTATTATTGTTGGGATTGTGTATTATTGTTGAGCTTGTGTATTATTGTTGAGCTTGTGCATTATTGTTGAGCTTGTGTATTATTGTTGAGCTTGTGCATTATTGTTGAGCTTGTGTATTATTGTTGAGCATGCATTGTTTTTGAGCTTGTGTATTATTGTCGAGCTTGTGTATTATTGTTGAGTTTGTGTATTATTGTTAAGCATGCATTATTGTTGATCTTGTGTATTATTGTTGAGCTTGTGTTTTATTGTTAAGCATGCATTATTGTTGATCTTGTGTATTATTGTTGAGCTTGTATATTATTGTTGAGCTTGTGCATTATTGTTGAGCATGCATTGTTTTTGAGCTTGTGTATTATTGTCGAGCTTGTGTATTAATGTTGAGTTTGTGTATTATTGCTCATAATAGAATTTAATAATTGATGTACAAAACCAATATATTTGGATTGAAGTCTTATCTATAGTATGATATACATTGGTATCTGCAAGCAGTTCCTGTTTTATTTTAAACATATGTTTCTGCTTTTCTCAAATACCTTGGGGGAATTAGCATTCTTGATTCATTTGAATCAATATTATCTTGTCTTGCTTGTTCAGTGTCCATAATTAATACATATATATCTGCAGTCTTCCAGGTTTTCTATGGATTCGTATTGTCTCATAGGAGCTTTCTGATTTTAAAACAAACCCTTAACTAAATGGTTTGGTGTCTGAGGAATGTTTTTGTAGATAGATATTATAAGCAATTCTGAAGGAATATATCGCACATTTTTGTCTTCCCGATTTCAGTCTTACATAATGTCAATATAACAGGCCGTCCAACTGTCCCAAAATTTGCGTATTTGTCACGCATTTGGTGGAAAATTTGAAGTCAAGGTGTCCACATTTTGAAGAAAGGTGTTCAACATTTGTAAGTCACTCATGTTAGGTGTTCCCAAGTTGACAGGCCTGATATAATCATAATGTATAATGTTCAAACTTTGGGTAGACATTGTCATTCCGGGATGCCTACATATCTCAGGATCACATGTTCATCCAATTAATAGGATTCAGCAAAAATAATAGTGTACAGTATAATGAATAAGCCATTATTTTATAACAAAATCTTTATGCTATATGTATATCCGGAAGGATATCCAGCAGATTAGATGTTTTGTATTAATATGTAATAATTACTGCTGAATTTTGTCAAGACCGTATATTTTATCGAAGTGCCAGAAAATTGGAGAAAGAGTCGACGGCAAACCCGGGTTTTGAGGGCGCAACTTATGGCAACGAGTGCTTCTGGAAAATTGGCAGTCTATTCATATTTGAGAGAGAAAGCATGGCATACGTGTATGCATGATTCGTTATTATATTCAGGGTAAAAGCAATCAAGAGTCTTCAGTACAAAACGTAATATACATGAATCGCTAATCAGTGGCATTATCATGTCTGTACTACTCTCTGATTCCTGCTTATTTCATGCTATTTCTCTCCAAAATTTGAATGAAGTGTCTGATTTTCTTACATTTCTATACAATTTAGAATGTTGACTACAAGTCTGTTTGCTTTATTTCTTGCTGATTGCACTTTTTTCCACTCTATTTGTGTTTTAAAACAAGACTGCCATGTTTTTTTGTCAGAGGGAAATCCTTTGAGAGAAAAAGTAATGTGTTTCTTTAATATGAATGTATTGCATCCAACTCTGAATTCTGATTAATCTTTTCTTTCGCATTACGTATATACATTAATTCCTGCTATTGTTTGGAAAATTTGTACGTCCTTATTAAATACATAAACCTTGTTAATCGCTCTCTTTAGTGAATCTCTATATCATGAGCCAGTATTCTCCACAGGTTTTTTTTTCTTAAGTGGCTGCAAAATTCTCATTTTCACAATTCACCCTAAATTTAGTCAAAATTTGCCGATTTTTCATGATTTTTCTCATTTTTTTCAAGTGGGTGCAAGTGGATTTTCAGGTGGGTGCAAGCCTGTTTTAAAAATGTCATTTGGGTGCTGCGCCCACTTGCTTTAATGCTGGGAGATCACTGTAAGCTGATGTTATCTTAGAGAGATTATTGAAATATTCATTAGATTTCTAATTACATTGCATTCCAAAATCCTAATCATTGTTTCCCTTAGGATTTTATACAAACTATCAATCAATTTACATTTACAATGGAGTTTTTACATCCCAGGAGTCGGTCAAAATGTGCCATTTAAGTATTTTCAAGAAAATGGAAATAAACACACTTTGCTGTGCCAGTACTTGAACCTGTCGAATCTAAACAAAACTGAGAACAGGCAAAAGTCTGTAGATTAGCAGATGTTCACATTTCAAGGTTTTAATGTGTGAGTCAATAGAGATATGTAAAATTGGGAATGAGAAAAAGTGTTCACATCAGGAGGTGTTCAAATTATCAGAAGGTGTTCAAATTATCAGGAGGTGTTCAAACTATCAGGAGGTGTTCAAATTATCAGAAGGTGTTCAAATTATCAGGAGGTGTTCAAATTATCAGGAGGTGTTCAAACTATCAGGAGGTGTTCAAATTATCAGGAGGTGTTCAAATTATCAGGAAGTGTTCAAATTATCAGGAAGTGTTCAAATTATCAGGAAGTGTTCAAATTATCAGGAAGTGTTCAAATTATCAGGAGGTGTTCAAACTATCAGGTGTTCAAATTATCAGAAGGTGTTCAAATTAGACAGGTGTTCAAATTAGACAGGTGTTCAGATATAACAGTTTTACTGTTCACTTGAAATCAAATCTTAGCGCAATACTTGCTCAAACTTCACTGCTTGGAGACCATTTCTTATCCAAGGCTTGTTGCCATAGCGATGACAGGTGATCATAATGATATTAATATAACTTAAGGCTACCCTGCATACCTGTACATATTAGTTTGTGCAACACTCTACATAACACAAATCATTATTGAATAATATATCTGTTTATCATGGCAATCAGTTAAATGCAAAAGAGGTTCAGTGCCTTATTAGGGCAAATCTCTAATTTGAGAACAAATCGTTAAGTCAGCCACTTGTTAGCATTCAGACTGCAGCTTCTATGGAAGGTTTTTAACCCATTGAGAAATATTGCAATTTTCATTATAGTAAAGTAAAACCTGTGTGAGTGGAACACCTTTGGTAACTCTAAAAAGTTTTCCACTTGGAAGGTGTTCCACTTTACATTAAGTCAGTTTGTCATGAGATTCTCAAAAGTGTTCCACTAACAGAGGTGTTTTACTTATAGAGGTGTTTCACTTTACAGGTTTCACTGTAATAGGGATTTACAACAACATAAAATAGGACTGATAACTCAGACAGAGCTATACCTATAATACCTTACTGTATGACTAATTATATCTCAAGCAAAATGTTATTTCCGTTATATCTATGATAGATGATGCAGTTTTATAATAACCAGTAAAATTTAGATAAACATGCAGATTTTAGATATATCATCCAAAAGTGTCATTTCCATCTTACTTAAAATGAGATAAATATCATATGTAAGTCTCTTGAATCTCTGAAGTTAATGTTATCTCATACACAATCTTGTAGATTGTAATACAGAAACAAAGAATGTGGTAAAACCTTTTATATTTGAACACCTGTCTATTCTGAACACCTCTTGTTGTGAACACTATTTTGTTATCTCCCAATGGCTCACATAAATGACCTTGACATCAGAATACCTGCTTATCTGAACATTTTGGCCAGTCTTATTGGGATTTAGAAATAGAAAATGACAGCTTATATTCATTACAGCTACTGTACATGTGCATCTGTATATATCTTTTCCAAAAATAAATCTAGAATTTTGGCTCCAACTACATGTATAGGTGGACCTGATCTTGAATTTACTTTCACAGCGGCAGACTTTTTAAGCTAACATACATTCAATTCAATTCAACGTACATTATAATGAACATAGTAACAAAAGAACACAAGTTCAATGCTCATTGTTACCATGGCACCATGATGATGGCCTTATCTCTTAACTTGAACTACTTGTATTTTCCAGATACCACAAAGAAATTCCTGATGTAGATCTCAAGTAGCCTTAATCAAACCACTGTGACGACAGAAATCAAAATGGCCGACATTGGACCCTCACAACCTGTCAAATGTGACCGTTATTACACAGATCGCAACAAGACAACATTTATATATGGCGGATACGAGGGAATTCCCGAGACCCTGCTCATCAATTTCTGTGTTTGGCTGGTAGGTTATTAGTTATTTCATTTTCAAGTGCTTCAAGTGTACATATACATTCACTCTTTTGTGCACTTAAGAGCAGAAATGGTGAAAGTCTAATAGCGTTTTATATTCTTTGGTCATTTTAGTGAAGAATGAATATCATGTTCTTTTCTATTTGGGTGCTTTTAACTGTGCTTTTTGCTGTGTATGACTGAAAATACTGCAATGGCTGAAAATACTGAAAACTGAAATGGCTGAAAATACTAAGATGTTGAAAAATACTGAAATGGCTGAAAATATTAAGATGTTGAAAAATACTGAAAATACCTTGATGTTAAAAAATTCTGAAATGGCTGAAAATACTAAGATGTTGAAAAATACTGAAATGGCTGAAAATACTAAGATGTGGAAAAAATACTGAAATGGCCGAAAATACTTAAATGTTAAAAAATACTGAAATGGCTGAAAATACTAAGATGTTGAAAAGTACTGATATGGCTGAAAATACCCAATATGTTAAAAAATACTGAAATGGCTAAAAATACTAAGATGTTGAAAAATACTGAAATGGCTGAAAATACTCATAATTTACATTCAAACTCTTATTAACAGCTGTAATAGCTTTGCTCATTTCAGCAGTAGAAATAGTTTTGTTGAATTATCTAAATATTGATGTTTTCAGCACAGAGATACAAAATCCAATCTATAGGGAGCAATATTTGTAATGTTCACTTTACGGGAAATGAATATTATAAATATCAATATAGATAATGTTATTATCCTGAGTAATGTACAATGACCTCCTATTAATCAAGGAAAAACTGTTTAGTAAAAAAGATATATTCAGAGAAGGATACTATAGCAACCCAAAATCATGCAGCGTTAATTGCCATTTTGAATTTTTCAATAAAAGAGTGTGAATATCTATTATTATGTGTCTTGTTAAGAGAAATAATTCATATCATTGCTATAACTGACTCGTGACTCATAACAAAGATTTGAAATATAAAACATTTAAACTTCCAGCTGCTGCTTATCCTCTTTGGGATTCTGCGTAAGCTTGCGTGGGATTATGGGAGAATTGCACTGGTCAGCCGTCGTGATGAAAGGTAATACTCTATTCTCGTTAGATTGGAATTTCAGAAAAAAACAACAAATCTTCTAGTTTTTGTGATTGATTAATCAATTTATTAGCTATATGCCTAAAGATTGCTCATATTTGAATAATAATATCTATCCTCATGTGCACATGTAAATATGTTAGAAGATGTCTCAATACAGTAGTTATTGAGTAGTAATTATTAAGTAGACCTATTGTAGATTATTTTATTCACAAGATCTATGGATTACCAAATGAATTTTCCTCTACGAAATTTGACTCATGATATCAATAATTTAAGTGTAAAGCAGCTGTCAAAAAGCTGAAGCAGTTATGATATCATATAACCTTGATTCTCTATTGTAATATCATGTGACCATGATTAGCCAATGATACTATATTGAAATATCATGTGACCATGGTTAACCAATGATACTCTGTTGTAATATCGTGTGACCATGCTTAGCCAATGATACTCTATTGTAATATCATGTGACCATGGTCAACCAATGATACTCTATTGTAATATCATGTGACCATGCTTAGCCAATGATACTCTATTGTAATATCATGTGACCATGCTTAACCAATGATACTATATTGTAATATCATGTGACCATGCTTAACCAATGATATTCTGTTGTAATATCATGTGACCATGATTAGCCAATGATACTTTCTATTGTAATATCATGTGACCATGATTAGCCAATTGTACGCTCGTTGTAATATCATATGACCATGCTTATCCAATAATACTCTGTATTGCCATTTTATGTGATCGTGCTTTAACCAGTGATACACTGTATCAGCCAGATATGGTCATGTGACCATTCATATGTACAATTAGTTCAAACTTGTATCTAATATCCCTTATAATCCTCCAAATATAGGGCTTCAGGTATTTCCTTGAATATTCTCTTTCAAAAGAATGAAGAACTGACAATTCTGTAGCCTTATGTTAGGAGGATGCTATAGCTACATGGCCCCACAGCCGTGGGTTGCATAATTTTTCAGTTAAAACATGTTTTAGTAAAACAAACTCTTGAATTTATTTCAGAGAAACGTTGGTGTCTGAGTCGAGATATAATGTGTAGGAGCAAAAAGTGCTATTTATTTACTTTTGCGTAAATGTCTTGATAGTCATGTTTTGAAATGAAAATTGAGTTAAAAAGAGTGGAATTAGCAAGGAATAAAATAAACGGGCATGTAGTTAACACTCTAAATTGTATGGAAATGCAAGAAAATCGGACACTTCATTCAAATTTAGAGAAAAATTGAGTGAAATAAGTATGAGTGGATGGACATTTTCAAGCATGAGAGTTGGATTTATAGGGTAGTCATGGCTTTAAACACAAATTACAAGAAAAGTACAGATTATTAAGTAATGAAAAATGTTACTCTTTTGGAATCATTTTATTGAGCAAGAGGTGTTCAAACAAATTTGAACGAGTCATTTCATCCATTTTGAGATTAGCCAAGAGGTGGTTATATATAACATTGCTAAAATGTTAATGTTAATTCTCCTTTTATAAGATAAAAAAGGAAAGAACAACCAGGATTAATTATCAAAACTTTATGTTCTTTTGCATACAGTAAAACCTGTCTTCAATGGGACTTCAATTCAACTTCAATGGGACTAACTAAAAGTGGTTCAGATCAGCAGTTTATATTTTAGGGTTTTTATATGAGTCAATGGAAGATAAAAAAATTGGGACACAGAAAAGTGTTCACATCAAGAAATGTTCAGATAAGAGAGGTGTTCTGATATAAAGGTTTTACTGTATTTATCACATTGATCATTAAAGGCATTTCTTGTAATTTGATAACATGAAGACATGACCCCATTGTGCTTTTGAGAATTTAACCTGTTGCCAGTTTATCTACCAATCCACTAATCACCCCAATCCTCGCACCTACAGTATTTGCAGTGATTTTAAATATGTTTTATCACTGTTATTAAACACATTGAAAGTCAATATTATTCAAAAAATTTAATGCAATACTTTTAATGAAGGTCATTCAGGGTCAGCATTTGAAGTTCAGGGGTCAATATTTGAAGGTCGTTTGGGGAACAGTGTTTGAAGGTCATTCAGGGTCAGCATTTGAAGTTCAGGGGTCAATATTTGAAGGTCATTTGGGGATCAGTGTTTGAAGGTCATTCAGGGTCAGTATTTGAAGGTCGGGGTTGATATTTGAAGGTGATTCAGAGTCAGCATTTAAAGGTCATTCAGGGTCAGCATTTGAAGGTCATTCAGGGTCAGTGTTTGAAGGTCAGGGGTCAATATTTGAAGGTCATTCAGAGATCAATATTTGAAGATTATTCAGGATCAGTATTTGAAGGTCATTTGGATTTAGATTTGAAGGTCATATAGAATCGATCTTATTTCAAAGAAATCTCTTATTAGAAAACAAGGAATCATTTTTTCCCTTTTCTCCATTGAACTTTAATGTTGAGAGCAAATATATTTTATTAATCATCGTTAAATTTACGGGCAAGTGTTGATGCACAGTGTGTATGTGTAGTTGAAATAAATAACCATATAGTATTAACATAATGTTTGCAGTGATCAGTTAGTTAGGTTTACATTTTTCTCAAATTTACGATTTCCCCTTTTTTGATAGACCCTTCCATGCCCTTTCAATATCATGTCCTTTAGCTTAGATTGCAGAATTTCTCCCTTATAACTTTTCTACATCCTTCTGATATCACCCCATGCAGACAGATCGCCTAAAATTACATTCGTATGATACCAGACTCGACATTCACCAGGAAAGTAGAAACATTTTGTCACCCATGAAGCAAATTAATTTTTTACTGCTTAATAAATGGTCAAGGACAGAGAATAGCATGACGTTTTGATATTTCAAGGTAACTCGTTCAAAAAGTGATGGCGGTGATCGAAATAACGATTTAAAGATAAAACCGTAATGTAATATTTGTAGATTTCTTTGAAAAATTGAGAAATATACAACAAATATCGAATTTTTCAAAACAGAAAAAACATGTATAAGAAGTAAGGCCTGCAGGTCAGATTCCCCCTGGTCTCATACATGTCATACAATTAATATTTGAAATACAACTATCATTCGAACTTATGATCGGACATGAGAATGATGTTACTGTATTAATATTACATTGAAGTACACATCATACTTATGTCCAATCATAAGTTTGAATAATAGTTGGGCTTCAAATATTAATTGTATGACTTATACAAGACCAATGTTAATGCTACCAGGGGGAATCAGACCTACATGCCTTACTATTTATAAATGTTTATGGGGGTTTTGAACAGTTCAATATGAGATGAATATTTCTTAATTTTTCAAAGAAATCTACAAATATTTCATAGTACGGTTTTATCTTTACATTGTCATTTCAATAACCCTCATCACTTTTCAAACAAGTTCCCTTGAAATATCAAGACGGCATGCTATTCTCATACTTATAGAACTTTATATGACTGTCATTCATCATTTATTAAGCAGTAAAAAATTAATCTGCATCATAGGTGACAAAATGTTTCTACTTTCCTGGTGAATGTCGAGTCTCACATCTTACAAATGTAATTTTAGGCGATCTGTCTGCATGGGGTGCATATGTGATATGCATTATGACTAAAAAATCTACTGGTGGATGGCTAAGTTGACTGGGTCAACGCCCTTTTACTCTTGCTGACGGCAGTTAATGTAAATGTTGTATTTTTCTCCCTTTTCTTTCTTTAGGTCAGTCTTGGTGATTGGTAGAACTTAACTTAATTGAAATCAGAAATATTAATCAAATAGTTATACTCTAGTTATACTAATGAATATATAAGAAATGTTATACAGGTTGTCCATAAAGTCTCTTTACACTTTATATAGTCTTTGTATTGTAAGTGTAAAGAGACTTTTTGTACACCCTGTACTTAAGAATATACAATTTTATGTTGCATAATTTAAGTTGAAATTAATAAAAAGGTACAGAAATGTTCAACAAATAATATAACAAATTAATCGAAACTTTCTTCAATTGTGTAAATCTTAAAAATATCAAGGTATTTTCAATTTCATGTTCTTCATATCACATATATTAAAGAGGCACGTGTATTTTAAAGAGGCACATGCTGAAATGCTGTAATCAGTAATCAGCATTTAGTCTCTTTAACTGATGCTTTGTAGATGGACATCACTATTCTATACAGACAGGTCTTCATTGGACACCCACACGTCACAGGAATCTCTCGATACAAAAATATTCGGCCAGGATAAGGTATGTGTTGTACGTTTGAAGATCAATAATTAATTTTCTCCATATAGCAAAAATAAACATAGACATATTTTCCAAGTCTATATCAATAATGGAGTTTACATTTCCCTATATGGAAATGTTTTTATCCAAAATTCTCCATTCAAAAAGGCCATCTATAAATTGTTGATTACTTGCTTGAGCATATATGAGAGTGTGTTTTCTCTCGAAAGTCCAAATTGCTTGAGTTGACAGTATTTTAAAAATCACCAACACCAAATCCTTTGACAAAACTACCAAATAAATTGTATATTGAAAGTACCCTATATTTGTCCAGGACATATCTTTTCTAGACTAAGTTCTTGTATATTATTTTAGGGTTTCTGTGGGTGGCTTCCAGCTATATTTAAAATCAAGTAAGTAATTGATTGACTTTCATATCACCTGGCAGGCCTGTAGCCAGGATTTGCTTAAAAATTGCTCAAAATGATGAAAAACCGCATGATTTTGAAATAATTTTTGGCCAGGGGAACCCATCGACCCCCCCCACCTAGCTACGGACCTGCCTGACAAGTAATGACTGTTACAGTCCCCAACTTTCTAAAGGTCATCCATTGTTATAGACATTTGGTGTTCTGCTTTAGGCATCTGTCACAAATTGGAGGAGGTTATTATGCCTTGTTTTCATTTTTTGTATCTTTTCATTAATGTATTTCTATTTCCCTTATGTAATTTTATAGGTAATATTACAAATTGTATTGCTGTACATTTAAATAAAGGTGGATTATTGAAGACCTTGAATTTTCTCAATGACAAGCCATGACATTGAGCTTTCTTTATTACTGCTACATGTATTTGCCTGTTTAGCCATTAAGTATGATAGAATCAATTTTTTACTTACTTTTCCATTTAAAAAATCTCAAAGAATTAGTTTGAAATAAAGAAAATTTAAATAAAAATTCAAGAACATTCATGTTAATTTTACGTGTACCATATTTGTTTTCAGAGATGAGCATTACTTGCGGAAAAGTGGTCGAGACGCTGTGCAGTACTTAATATTTCAGCGCCATCTGTTGGTGTACACAGGAATCATCTGTATCTTGTCTATAGGTGTCATCCTTCCTATCAACTTCCAGGGCACCCTAGGTGAGTGAAAAATATGAAATGGGATATGACGTGTCCAAGGGTTGTGAATAAATTGAAAAAGAATAGAATCAGCAAGGATTAAAGTAAACTGGCATGTAGTGAACAATCTAAATTGTATAAAAATGCAAGAGAACTAGACATTTCATTGAAATGAGAAGAATTAGCAAGGAATAAAGTGAATGGACATGAAGAAAACACTCTAAATATTTAGAAATTCAAGAAAATGTGAGAAAGTTCATTTAGAAAGTTTATTTTTATTATACCAGAAATATGATACATCCCTAATCATGAATAATCAGCTTTACCACCTGCATTTCCTGTCAATACATTAATGTTATAATTGGATGTAATCGAGAGGTTGTGGATTCGATTCCCACTGGTGGAGGGATTTTTTCTCATCACCCCTCAGCATAGGATTAGATCCCAATGCTTTAGATTAACATGTGATACTTGCTCTTAAATTTCCAATTCAAAAAAGACAGGACTTTGCAAGAAATTTGTGAACAGGTATGAGGGTCACATTCCAAATCCAATCTGAGAAAAAAATTCAAAAAAGAAGATGCTTTATACGAATTTTAGAGAGAAATAGTCGGAATGAGCATGACAATTTAAAAGACCCATTGGAGGTCACAAGGTTGATTAAGCTACTCTTCAGTTGCTTCCCCATTGTGAATAAGAGCATCAGGAATGATATAGGCCTGTTGATATATTAATAAATGAACAATAGAATTTCTGACATATTATGTTGAGATTAATGAGGACTTATCAGCAATACTGTAGAATAATCACCCCTGTAATTTATTGGTCTGGACCATGGTTCAGTATATTGGATTAAAAATGGAATGAATGAAAAGTAAGGGAAAAAGAAATATGGAATATGTGATTTCAAAAAAATTTAATGGTTTGAATGAGTTTGGAATATGGAACTCAATCCCCTTATGAGAACCCACAATGATTTGCATTTGTTAATTGTGCCGCATCCCCACATCCTCAACTACCACCTCCACTTCCCACAAAAACTTGATTAAATATTGCAACAAACCACTTTAAATTGACACCAACATACATGAGGTTAATCAAGCACTTACATGTAACCACATGTAATTAATCCATGGAACCACATGTAATTAATCCATGGAACCACATGTAATTAATCCATTTAGTTATTGCATACAAGGTGATCCAGAGGTAAGGTTGCCATAGTGACCATGAAATGACCCAATCAAATAGTAGAAGTTTCCTTGAAGTAATGTATGAACTCTACAATGTCATGGGAACATCTGAACCAAATCTTAAGAAAATTGTTTCAGTAAAATTAACCGAAAAGGCATCTTTGATGTTACTTCTGGATCAGCCTGTATGACAGGAAATACACAAGCTTGCGGTAGTATAACAAGATTAGAATGTATAAAGAATTCATGATTATTGACAAAATCAACACAGTTTAATCCTTAAGACTCACCATGCTGATTATTCTACAATTCCCTACATTGCAATAAATTATACATAACAGTGTATGATAGTGACACACTTAACAGAGGAAATTCTCATTTGGGAATCTACATTATTGATGGTCCTTTGATGAACTTTTTGGTAAAAATTACAGATGGCCACATTTTGAAATGTAAAATAGAGTGACAATGAGTAGAATTAGTGAAAAATTAATAGGCAATATGAGTTGTTCACACTCTAAATGGTATAGGAATGTTAAACAAATGAAAGGGTTCATTCAAATTTTAGAGAGAAACAGAGTGGAATAAGCATGAGCAGACGAATGTTTTATATATTGAATGAATTAGACTAGAAATCCATTTTCAGATGAAGACCGACATTTTAAAGCTCAGTACATCAACCTAATGCATAGAAAGCGTAAATAACACAACATATGAGCATGGAATCCTTGAATAAAATTTAAAATTGGCAAATTGGGCCTCTTTCTATGAACATTTATAATTTGTGTCTATATTCCAAAAATCAACTCAATGTCAAGCAATTGATACCACGCCATCTGAAATCTGAAAATTATCTCAATATCATGAAAAATAGGGATTTTAATGTGACTAATATAATCATGTAATGGTACAATATGTCAATAAAAGTTATATATATAATCCATGTTGGCCATTTCTTTCAAAGGATATATGAACAACGAGAGTTTTACATTGAGTTTAGAAAATCCCGAGGAGAACACTCTGACACTTAGCATCAGAACAATTGGTGCCCCGTGGGTCTCAATAAATTGATAAATTGGTAAATCGCATGCCTTGGAGGACTATTATGCATTGAATCAATAGCACTATAGAATCCAATGTATTATTAATTATCCAGTAATACAATTAATATAGGAAACAGTATTTCCCTGTATTAAGATAAATCTCACATCCTTGTCTCCCAGCTCTCCCCTCTTCCACCTTATTTCGCAAATGTTGAGGATTTAGAACATCAACAGAATGAGCTGTTCTTTATTTTGCTTTCAATTATGCGGGCAATTCGTCGTTTTAAAAAACACTTCTCTGTTGGTTATTGTAAATGTGATTACAATTTATTTGAGAAACTTTCATTCATAAGTTTATTTCGCTGGCTTTCCGTGATGAAACTTGTGACCATATATGGTTACCTTATTAACATATTGATATATATATAAACAAAGACAAACTGACGGTCAAGATGTGAGATAACGAATATTCTGGTTTGTTGTCCTCGTTTATTCTCGTATTTGTCCATGCCTCATCATGGTAACAATTAAATATTGAACAAATGGACTTGAAATAAAGAAAGTATGTTAGTTGACGAACAGTTATCAGTGATCACATTACTTTTATGCCACTGTAAGTATCGATTATGATAAAGCCGCTCGGATGAATTAGTGAACAGATCATAGGTCATTGTTAGCTCCTAAATAGGCAGATTTAACCGTTATTTTGGTCAGTGTTTGGCTTTGAAGCGAGAGGTGGCAGCTATAGGAATGCATGGTGGGTACTATTCATATTTAAATGAGTTTGCCATCAAATTGCAATCACCCGGTAGCCGCAATTTGCATTCCCGAATACAAGCTGAGACTCAACTCTACAATTAAATGTACATACAAGCACTGTTAGTTAATTATCTGATATTTTATAGTGGTCCCTTCGTGAAAGTATTTATTGTGTAAACAAATCATTTTTAAATGTAATTTCTATTTTCAGAGGGCAACACACAGACATTTGGTCACACTACTATTAGTAACATAAATAGCAAGTAAGTAATATAAAAAGCAAGTAAGTAACATAAATAGCAAGTAAGTAACATAAATAGCAAGCAAGTAACATAAATAGCAAGTAAGTAACATAAATAGCAAGCAAGTAACATAAATAGCAAGTAAGTAACATAAATAGCAAGTAAGTATCATAAATACCAAGTACAAATAATAAGTAACATTAAAAGCAAATAAGAAGAATAGCGAATACATAATACAAAGTTCAAGACTCCAGCTTTCAGAATTTTTAGTTAAAAATGATTTTGACATTTATTCTTGATGAGAATTTGAGAAAGGAAATGATATATATTCTATCAATTCTGACTCAGTCTCATATTAACATTGAAATTTGGACAATTTAATATTGACCTACTTTCTGGAAGCTATCTCTCAGAATTAGGTTAATATACCTCATAGCAGGAAAAGCTGACACTTTTATAATCTTTTTCTCTATCACTTTAACAAGTTCAAAAGAAAAATATTGAACAGTAGTGTGGTAAATCTGTAATTGCAAAAATAGGAAAATGACCCAGATTTTGACCATGACCTTTTAACACTCAAAATTTACTTGACCTTTTAAAGTCTTCATTTGTTTTCACTTTATATTTTTTAACTAAAAAGGTCTTCAAGGGTCAATTGTGTATTTACAGCTGGACCTCTTTTAACAGCAAATAATTCCTTAAATGTCAAATTACAAGTGCTAGTTAAAAAAGCATCATCTCAAATTCAGTGCTTGTTTTTATTTCAGCTCCCCGACACTTTGGGTACATGCTTTATTAGCGATTGTATTCCTTGTCATAGCCGTTTACTTTATGCGGCATTTCTCCATCAATCTGCGCTACGAAGAGGATGATCAGGTCAGTGCTATATCTTTAATGATAATCCCATGAATCTTCTTGAGGGGGATTTGTGCCAAGATTTCCTCTCAATGTTTATTTGCCTGGCAGGGAACAATTTGGTTATGATACAGTATTACTATAATGTTCATCTTCAAACCAAGTATTTTGGTCGAGAGATGACAATTATTGTAATGTACAACTAATCCTTTACACAGTTTTGCAAGCTGTTGGGTGACCACAAGGTCATGACCTTGATGATGTCACAGAATTGGCAGGGAATTCTGGCAGCCAATCCTCTTTTGAATTTTCGAAGAACTCACAATGATATGTATCACAACGTGCGAATTGCTGTTCTGACGCATCAAATTGGTTCATGCTTTTCATTCCTGAGCTCGCTGATAGATGTCTCACGCTATAAATATATACTATATGATGTCAAATATATATTATATGACGTCAAATATATATTATATGATGTCAACTATATATTATATGACGTCAAATATATTATATGACGGGAATGACGTCATACTATATTTTCGTCCAGTGTATAATGAAATAGCGCACCTAGCGGATAGCGCGTAGTTTAAGATTCTCGCCTGCTGTGTGTCCTAATTGTAATGCATTCTTCCCTATATCACAACCTTTAAGTGTGTGCCTCGATGTGAGAAACCTTTTTGATTTGATTTGATAAATAATTGAAAGATGAGCTGCTGGGCAACAGTAAGATTGATTTTAACTCAATTTCCAAAACAAGAATTGAAGAGAATTGTAATCTGTTTCAGACTTCTAGATCACTGATGATCTCAGGGATTCCCAAAGACAAATGCTTCAAGAACCTCATGCAGCAACATTTCCAGTAAGTTGAAAATGAAGAACATTCACATTTTCAAAAGATCACTGAAAAACAAGGAACCCTTTTTTCTTGCAATTTTTAGCTCATGTGGTGATCCTATGGAATCACCCACTTATCTATCTAGTTGTTTGTCTGTCAGTGATTTTTAAGCAAATCAAAATCAATATCCATTTATACCTGGGGTCCGTCTCGTTCATTAACACCATTAGATCTGGCTCCAACTTTTGCTATGTATTGGAGAATTCGGCTTTTGTTGTTATAATCATGCATATATAAGAAATAAAGCCAACATGCATCGTTATTTATCTGTGATGTGAAATATGCTTTCCTTTTTGCCCATATGATAAAGTCTCCCAATTTGAGTCTATATAATGAAAGAAGCCTGGCTTACCAACCCTACCTCTTATTATGTTATGATGGGCATGCTTTGAAATCAAAATAGAGAAAAATAGTGGGATCAGCAAGGAATAAAGTAATGAGACGTTTAGTACTTAGGCTAGACTATCCTGAGACTGACAGTAGTTACTTTTAATTGAACTCTTCATTTATCTAGTATTTCCAATTGGATTTATGTTATACTTCATCAGCATATAAGTAGATGTCTTGTTGATGTGTATGGTTCTTATTTTTAGGGAAGCATATCCAGAGGTGTCTGTACTTGACATACAGTTTGCTTATAATATTGGAACACTCATAAAACTAGATAAAAACAGGTATGGTTTATTACAAATATTGGGTAGGAAAGTTAAATTCATTGGACTGTCATGTGACCTTTGATATTAATGTTTTCATGCTTGTCCATCATGTCATATTTATTATTGACAGGACAATTGTTACTAGTATTAGCAGTACATGTTATTAGCAGTACATGTATATGCTATTGGCAGTATATGCTATTGGCAGTAATGGTAAATGTTATTGAGTGAACTTTACTAATTTCTCCAGTGTTTTATATATTCTGTATATTTTCTCTGTGTAATATCAGTTATTGTTTCATTTTATATATCAAAAAATTTTTGGGTGAAATTTTTTGGAACTATTTTTTTTAGGCAAAGAGCCTATGAAGGCAAGATCAACTCTGAGAACATTCATAAAGAGACAGGGGAGCGTCCTGAGATGGTTCCTAAAATGTGTGGACAAGTCTGTTGTTGCTGTTCCCCATGTGGCTGTAGAAAGGTAAGGAGGAACAACATATGAATAATTCAATAACAGGTCACAAACATGAATAATACGGACCAAAATATTGAAATGGATTATCTGGTCGGAATGTGGCTGCCACATCTTTAATCAGTCTTATCAAAATTCCAGGAAAACAGCTTATCACTCAACTTGGCATTGGCAGATAAGTGCCATGACCTGATGAGATTTGGGGCAGCTGGGTAAATTACATGCAGCCATTTTGCTCTTAAAGTGTAATATTTAACACTGTTTGTCTTTTTCCAGGTTGATGCCATAATGTACTACACTGATGAGGAAAATAAACTGCGGGAGCAGTGTGAACAAGAAAAGGTGAATGCTTTCCGAGACTCGCTGGGTATTGCCTTCGTCACATTTGATAATGACTTCATGGCGGCAAGGTAATGAATACTCATAATGATTAAATCCATATTTTTGAAATTGTCAAAAGCAAACTATCGGCAAAATAGAAGTAACAAATTTTTAAAAAGCTGACATCGTAAGAAAATGTACATGAATCAAAAGAACATGCTGCCTTGACAATAAAGATGAATGAATGATTAACAAACTATGTCATTACAGTGTAGATCATGTGATCATAGAGGATTCTAAAGGATAAATATAAATTCAAATGCAATTGAATGTTACAGTGTACACCTCAACCTCATTTTATGTTATTTTAGAATCTACTGTCTAGTTGGTTTCAAAATGACATGAAAGGGGGCGCATGATTCATTATCCACCACAACAACTTATCCCATTCATCTTCTCACATGAAGTTTGACAACAAAAATGGTTCATAACAAAGGATTTTTGAAGTGGTACCCAGACAACTCCTTTGTCACAATGCTTTTTATCAGAATACTTTGTAACAAAGCAATTAAACCTGCCTCGTGTAATGCCGATTAAATGAATTGTTTTATATAGGATCTTCTCAGATTTCAAGACATCGTGCAAAGGGGCACATAATCCACAACCATCAACAGTAAGCACAGAACTGGAGGCCCCTGGCTGGGAGGTGAAGTATGCCCCGGCACCTGACAATATATTCTGGTAAGTTATAATCAGTTATATCACATACAAGGTGGAGTTACTTGGATGCAAGTAGGGGAGGGTGTGTGAGTGCGACTCAGTGTATGCCCCTGCACCTGACAATATATTCTGGTAAGTAATAATCAGTTATACGAGGGGTGATCAGGAATTTCTGGACCATTGGCTCTATTTTTGCCATTTTTTATCCTTTCTTCATGATTTTTTCACATAATATAACCCAAATATATAGGCTCACACCATGAAGATTTCATTGTTCTTTGACAACATTATTCTATTATTTTTGTTACCATGGTAAGTTACAATCAGTTATATCACATATAAGGTGGAGTTACTTGGATGCGGGTAGGGGAGGGTGTGTGAGTGCGACTCAGTGAGGTCCGGATTCTTTAGTTTTTGTGTTGAGTGTGGGTTGAACATCATAAGTTTATATGTATTTTAAATGTATGTTTTAGGACCTTGTCACTTTACATATAGTTCAGTATTTACATATATGTCAACACAAAACTTGGTTTTATTATACATGTATATTCACCCATATGTCGGAAAGACTGAATAAAATGAGAGTCAATAAAAGATATATGATATAATTAGCCACCATTTTGTGTGTCTTCACCTTTCTAGGTGTTGATATTTTGTCAGTTAATATTAATTTTTAGTAAATGACAATAACAGAGTTGAAGCAAATAAAATTAGTGTAACAAATTGAAATAATCAAATATTTTTTATTTATTTTAGGGAAAATTTATCAACCAATAAGATCTTGTGGTGGACACGTGCAGTTATTGTGAATTGCATTCTGGTTGTACTCCTCTTTTTTCTAACAACGCCATCTATTTTGATGAACTTGTTGGATCAATGGAATTATAAAAAAGCACTCAATGACCTTCATGTAAGTAGGACGTTTGAGGTTTAATACTTTAATTGTGTCTGATTTTTCCCTGCCAAAATAAAGTAAGACGTTTCGTTGAGATGAAAATTTACCTTCTTGCTCAAATTGTAGAAACAAAAAAATAAATTGTTTAACTGCCATATGCTTTTGCCCTAGAACACGAATGCTTTATGAAAACATAGAGTCAATGTTACAATGATTATTTTCAGACCTACGGCTCATCGCATTGGAGTTGTAAATGAACCCCCATAATTTGAATTAACAGGAATATATTATTTCCAGAATCCTATCTTGGTGGAATTCATTCCAACAGTTATCATTGTCTTGCTGGCAAAAGCCATTCCTCTTCTAGTCTACTACTCTGACTTCTATCTTATTGGACACTACACCAGGTGTTTGACAGTTCATCTTTTACATTTTTTCATATCTTTTCTTCATCATTTCTTCTACTTGGTGTTGGACAGTTAATTGTCCAGTGATCTCCGCAGAATTGAAAACTTGATTGGGTTGAAAATTTAGTTAATCATAAAACATTGGAATAATTGTACTTTTGGAGAATTATAAAAGAGAATATAATATTTAAAACATTGAAATTGGAAAATTAGAATTTTGTATCCAGTTAAGAATACATTTTTGGGAGAGCACCATATTTTACCTTTTCTTAAATCACTTTTGTGTCTTGGTCATGTTTTGTAAAGCAAAAACATTATGGAAAGAGTGGAATTAGCAAGGAATAAAGTAAACAGGCATGTTGTTGACAATTTAAGTTAAAATACCAGTTTGTATATTTATGTATGGCAGTATGTTTTTCGTCAACATTTCTTTCCAAATCAATTTTTATGATCTAAGAAGGACTTAAACCATTTATCTTAGCATTTTCAGCATTTTTTTCACTTCTTGGCTTTCAATACCCAACACCTTCACCCTACCCCCTGCATTTTCTCATCTATATTTCCATTTGAATTAGTTGGCTTCCAGGATGATTCGTTTGAGGCCAATTTTCTAATGTTTTGCACTACAGCTACATAGCCCCCATCTTCAGAACGTAATCCTTAAAGCGAGCATACAGAACATACTTCACAATGTATGCTTTCGTTCCTAAAGGATTCTAAATTATTGATTATTTTGATAATTTCCTGCTTTTTGCCATGTATGGTTATAATTATTAATTATATTATTCACATAGTGCACTTTTATATATTAAAATGCATTATTATTTTACAATGCATGCTTACAGAGTGCATTTATAGTGCAATTTCTCCCCACTGTGATACTATGGACATTCTCAGCTCTTCTACCAAATCTAGTCTACTATGCTGAGTATTATCTCATTGGCCATTGGACAAGGTAAGAGAACTGTGAAATAGACAACTCCCATGTTCGCTGATCTCAGAGAATATGTATTTTGGCAATCTTTCACTACGTAAATAACCACTGATGATTTTACTATGCATGGAAATGTGAACATCTTTCTCAGTTCCAGTATCATTAGGTTTTGACATTTGAGTATGAAGATGTGACAAAAGATGTCGCCATTATTAAATCCCCTTTTTCAAGAATACAATTTTGTGCCAACAGTTTATAATTCAATATCAATATTATTTCAATAAGACAAATGCATGTGTATCAGATAATTCAAATTTGAATCTCCTCATAATAGATGGCACTTATAACGATGACGCTAATGTTATAAATAGTAAACAAAGGCACACATGTGTATTTGTATCAATATCCAGGAAATATGAATAAATCGAAATTGAAAAAAAACAAAACTTATAATGTTGTTGTCTTTCAGGAGCGGGGAGCACCACGCCGTTATGAGAAAAACATTCATATTTCTTCTACTCATGGTCATAGTGCTGCCCTCTTTAGGCCTGACTAGTGCCAAAGCTCTCCTAGAGTTCCTGGGTACTCAGGATGAAGGAGTGGTGAAATTTAGATGGCAGTAAGTATTTGTTCCATGAGAATACATGGGTAGGGCAAATCAGAAAATCAGAGGGGACCCGAATATGTATTTCCATATCAGTTTTGTAATTTAAACTATTGGCTTGTATGTAAATCACTTATGTGTAAATCCTTGTTTAAGCACATTCAGGGCAAGTTAGGTAATGATGTGGCCCTGAACATGCATGGTCATCTGTTGTAGGTGCATCTTTCTGCCTGACAATGGTGCATTCTTTGTGAATTACGTCATAACATCAGCATTTATTGGCAGCGGATTGGAGCTTATACGCTTCCCGGAACTGTTCATGTATGCACTGCGCCTCCTATTGGCCAAATCTGCAGCTGAACAGACTGCGGTCAGAAAGGTGATGCACAATTTTTAACTTGTAATTGTCTCATTCATCTAATTTAATTATCTTGATTAACATTTTTGCTTCATAATATGCCACTCTACTTTTGTTATATCACCACTAAAAGGTGGTGACATATTGTTATGGTCTCCGTTTTTTGTGGTGGTTGGGAATTTGGCGGTTGGTATCTGTAACAAATGTTGGTTACATTTTGCATGTTAATACCTTGTCTCTATTTATTGTAAAAACATACTTTTTCTCATTTTCAGCATCTTGTGTGGGAGTTCCAGTTTGGCATCCAATATGCCTGGATGTTATGTATATTTGCTGTCATTGTAGTCTACAGTATACCATGCCCCCTAATTGTACCTTTTGGTGAGTACCATGCCCCCTAAGTGTACTTTTTGGTGAGTACCATGCCCCCTAATTGTACATTTTGGTGAGTACCATGCCCCCCTAAGTGTACCTTTTGGTGAGTACCATGCCCCCTAATTGTACCTTTTGGTGAGTACCATGGCCCCTAAGTGTACCTTTTGGTGAGTACCATGCCCCCTAATTGTACATTTTGGTGAGTACCATGCCCCCTAAGTGTACCTTTTGGTGAGTACCATGCCCCCTAATTGTACCTTTTGGTGAGTACCATGCCCCGCTAATTGTACCTTTTGGTGAGTACCGTGCCCCCTAGTTGTACCTTTTGGTGAGTACCATCCCCCTAATTCTACCATTTGGTGAGTACCATGCCCCCTAATTGTACCTTTTGGTGAGTCTCAAGTTTATTTCCATGTGACCAATATCAACCAATCAGAATCCTTATAGCTTCTGTTTTAATAACCAAATTAAGTATGCCATATGTTTTATGTAAGTTTACTAAGAATTCACTTTAAAAGGCAGATATCTGACCCATATATGGACAGGACACAAATATACATTATAGACCTCACATGTTTATACATAGTGCAACTTACATTGTCATGCTAAACTAAAATGGCAAATATATAATTTTAAGATTGAAATATATTGCACCCACCTTGTAATTCAAACAATTTGGCCAGTCAAATTGGCATTCAAAGGCAAGTTTTACATTACAGAATATTCATGCACATGCATATGTAATATCTAGGTGTTGAATACATGTATAAATATTTCCAGGCCTACTGTACTTAATCCTCAAACATCTGGTGGACCGCTACAATATCTATTTCGCTTATGGCCCATCAAAGATCGACAAAAATATTCACACCAGTGCTATCAATTTCGTCATTGTAGCTGTCATTATGTTGCAGTTCTGCATTGTCTTCTTCACAGTGCTCAGATCAGGTGAGGTTTTTGCTATATTGAATGTCTGTCTGCTGAAATGTACTTCTGCAGGCAAATTTTTAAGTATATCTCTCTACCGTAATATTTGAAATAATCTCTCTCTAATTTATTGGTATTTCTCTACAATTTGGAATGTTGATAACATGTCTGTTTAGTTTGTTTTCTGATTACTTAGTTTTTGTAATTTTTTTCATATGAAAACATGATCAACATGTTAAATACAAATAATCAAAACTTGCATATGAATACATGTAGGTTGTGCATTCATAAGTATTCTCTTCACTTACATCACCTCTATGTTTTATATTTTCAGAAAACACATATGGTCTTACTGTTTTCTCGCTCGTCGCTCTGTTCCTTACGCTAATCATCTTCGTCGGGCGTCTCTGTTTTGGTTGGTTCAAAGGATTTGGACCCCTTAGTTACTCTGTAAGTTTAACTTTAAAATCCCATCACCAAATCTTTAAATGTGTCAAGTGAAAAATCAAAATCATTTATAGTTTTCTTTATATATTTATATTATGAAATTATCTAGAAATAACTATATACCTCACTAATAATGTCAAATTTTGTGAAAATATACACTCAAATTATGATGTTTTGCAATGGAATTCTGAAACATGATTAATGATAAAAACACAGTATTTGTGTAAAATCAAAAATGGGGTAAAAAGTCATTTAGACAAATAAACACAGTCTTTGATTGCTTAATATGATATAACTTGTATGAATGTATGATATTTTGGAGCTGTGTTTTATAGCAGTTTCAGAATGGAGTTGAGAGTCCCATGACACCCCCAGAAGAACAGGAACTCAAGGTAGGGAAATTATGGGATATATTGTGTGGTAAATGCAATTGTGGTCATGTTTTGAAATGCAAAATAGAGTGAAAAGGAGTGGAATAAGCAAGGAAAAAGATAAACAGACATGTAGTTAACACTCTAAATTGTATAGAAATGCAAGAAAATCAGACAGTTCATCCAAATTTTAGAGAGAAATGGGTGGAATTAGGAAGGAATGAAATAAACAGGCATGTAAATGACACTCTAAATTCAATTCAATATGTACAATTCATTCAGCATTTAGAGAGAATTAGCATGCAAGACATGACCACCAATGACTGTTTTGATTGAACAGTATATGTATTGTGAAATATATTGTCTGTGACTTTTTGGCTCATTCCTCATTTTCTTCATCAAATAGCAAATTGCTTTCCTGTCAGGGAAGTAGATACAAAAAGAAGGATGGATGGGGTTAGACTTGTTTTGATAATTTATGCACCACTCCCTCTTCAGTTAATTGAGTAAAGAGAATGGGGAGTAGTCAAGAATATTATTGTTATCCAATCGAACGAAGTTCTGAGGGATATAGGGAACCCCTCCGTCCGTCCATCTGTCCGTCCGTACGTACGTCTGTCCGTCCGTCCGGGCAATAACTCAAATACCGTTTGCCCGATTTTGTTCATATTTTGTACACATATCCTATCGGGGTAGAAGTTCTGCTCAAAAGCTGATTTTTAAAATGGCCGCTCATTTCAAAATGGCCGCTCATTTCAAAATGGTGGCCATTTTAGTGCCAAATTTACAGTTATTTAGGTGCAATATGTAAAACTGTAATAGGAATATGTTTTAGATGTAAAAAAAATTATAGGACATTAATAAAGCTAGAAATGTAGATATTAAAGAAGCACATGGCAGCCATCTTGAAAAATGGCGGCCTTTACTCGTTATTTTACGATTTTTGCTGTAACTCTAAAAGTAGTGGAGCGATTTTGTTCATATTTGGTATGTGAATACTATAAACATTGCACACTGTCTAAAGACACTTTTGGTAGAAGGTGGCCATTTTAAAAAATTGCCGCCATTTTGAAAAATGGCCGCCATTTTAACGTATTTTACTATAACTCGAAAAGTAGTGGAGTGATTTTGTTCACATTTGGTATGTGAATACTATAAGTATGGCAAATGGTCTAATGACACTTTTGGTAGAAGGCAGCCATTTTTGCTAAAAACTTTGTTTGTAAAAATGCCATCCATGGCTGTTCGATGGGATTTGCTACGCTTTGGCGTTGCCGTTGTTCTGGTTTAAAATTACTTTCTTCAATTTAAGATAACATGTTGTGTTAGTATAAGATCACCCAATCAATTTGTGGTTTACATTTATCTTATAAGTCATCATTTATGTAATTTAACATCCAAACCTCCAATCCTGTATCTTTTTTATCGTAATAACTTCAAAAGTGTATATATTGTACATATATGTATTTAGATGTTTTGATTGGTTAATAATGATTACACTTGTTTTTGTTGTTTAGGAAGAGGTACTGTATTCTTCTTTTGTGTGCTGTTTCTTCCTTCTCCTACCCTAGAGGGAGATTCTTTGGGTCACATCTCCAACGCACAACTAACTGAAATTCCCTTTTCCCAATTTTCTGTCGTTCTAATTATTTTTCCTCAGATTCCCTTTATTCATGGTTTACAATCCAACATCTTTTCCGCTGTCTTCTTATTCAATCCTCAACCTTCTTGAACTGATGAAAGTACCTTAGTTAGCTGAGTATTCCATAGCCCTACAGGGCTGTTGAGATCAGGCATCCAATTGCAATGGTGGTCTCACTGAGGGTCAACCTAATACTGCCCTAAGATCAGATTCTACAGAGTGTGCCTTTCTCTAAATAGTTTATAGTCTACAGGATTGACCCATTTTTCCCCTCCTTCTTCTGGGAACCAATAAGGGGAGCCAAATTTCAGGTCTGATAAAAAATTCAAAGTGGGCCCAAATTTTGAAAATTTGAGGCCCATTTTCTTCAAAATTTGGCCAAAAATTAAAAATAGGCCTTAAATGTCCAGTTATGGCCCGGGCCCCTGCCCCCCCCAGATTCTCCAGTGTGTTTAGACATTAGATGAGAGCTGATTTCATAATTGACTAACTCACTAAACCTTTAATGAATTATATACTCAACCATGCATGGTATTGTACAAATAATATAATGCAGACACTATACATGCTTTTATAGGATGCACCAAATTTCATTGAACTTTAAAGTAAATGAGATAATGTTGATTTTAAAGTGAAACCAGCTCTTTGCCTAAATTAAAATAGAAAATCCATTTCCAAAAAAGAACTTTCTGTAAATATTGAAGCATGAAAAAAATGCTCAAGCATTGAAAATTGTCTAGAATTGAATAGAATCTAGATACTTTTAATCCGTAAACTAATTGTAAACAATTCAATGATTTCTTTCTGCAAAATGGTATTAACTCATTTAAATAACAAATCTGATGAATTAATCTTTTTTCATGCGCTATGATTGACTTCTGCTGCCATCTTTATGAAGCTGTCACACTAGGCCATGTGGGAACACTTTGGGGCAGATGGGGGGCATGGCATGGACACACAGTGGGCAAAACAAATAGTTTAATAGCAAGATATCCACACTCACACCAAATACAAAAATTAATTGAAAATTTAATGCCCAAAATTATAAACATGGCGAATGGTGACCCCCCCACGGCCTAATTTGACAGCTACTTTAGAGAGGACCTAGCATGGAATATGCAAAGTATGAGTAGTCAATTGCCTTTTGAGAGAAATGATGTTGAATTCATAATGCCATTGAAACTTGTATCTTGCCCATTTACCAGTCGAAAGCATGGACACGAGATAAGGCTAATATCTTTGTTTAAGTGGATACTGTGTGGGATTTACTAGAATAGTACACCATTTTATAATATATAGAATTAGAAACATGGACTTGCTAGGATTTTATGGCCCAAAAGAGAATTTCATCATTACAGTCATCTTCTGCTACTTGTATATGTGCAGGGAGGCGGGAGGCGGGAAAGGGTACCACATTAATCTTGTCATCAAAATTCAATGATTTTAAATCATGGCTATTTTTAGGGCATTTTATCTTTGTTGCCCTTTGAAGAACATTCATTTGCTTTTTGAGACAGAGCAACAAAAAATGGTTCATTGTGATCAGACTTAGCCATATTTATTTTGTGTTTGTACACAAGTTTCTACTCTGTTCATTGTAGATCATGTTTTGCTCCCCGTCATGCTCTGAAGAGGTAAAAACTACATGTAGTTAGTTTAAAACAGCATGGGTTTAATTTTCTTTCAAGGAAGTCTTGGTGGTTGTATTTTAAACTATATATCGAAATAAAGTTAACAGACATAGAGACACAAATAAGACTCTAAATTGTATAGAAATGCAAGAATTATCAAAGATTTCATTCAAATTTTGAGAGAAATGGGTGAACTTAGCAAGAATGAAAGGAATAGAAATGCACAAATAAAATTACTGACAAGGTTTTCATTCAAATTTTACAGAGAAAAGAGTGGAATTAGCAAGGAATAAAATAAACAATCTAAATTGTGTAAAAATCATTGAAAATAAGGCAGTCTATTCAAATTTTAGAGAAATATGAGAAAAGAAAAAGCGAAAAATATTTCTTTGAGCAAATCTCTGCGTGGTGTTATGGTATGTGGTGATGGAGAAATGAAGATGGAACACTGTTGTTGCAACATTTTCATTTGAAATAAATATTTCTAAATGTATATTTTATAACTACATGTACATGTATTTGGTATTTTTGTAGATATTGTCAGTCAAGTTGGATGTATTTTCATGTGTAAGGTGTCAGAAAGGGTTTCTATTGCACTGTTTGCTTCTTTAAGTTAAAAATCTTGGTACTGTATTGTTTCTAGGTGAAAACAAATTCTCTCCAATATATAATTAATGTAAAATGTTAACGATTTCAGGGCTTATTTCATTTACTTTTATGATTGATTTTTATGTGAACACTTGCTACGGTCTCCAACTTTTTGGTAATACTTTTTGTTGTTTTCCAGGCATTTGTGCCGAATGTTCTCCTTAAAGAGACTGACCAGAGGACTTACCAAGCTCCCAGTCCAGTAAGAGAGGCCACTACCCACAATGCCCCAGCTCCAGCCAGCCAATCATATGGTGCCACAGATTCTCCGAGTCATGAAGCTTCTCATGCAAATCACCATGATGAATTTGAATAAAGCTCCACAATTGTTGCGCTTTATACTAACAAAGTAGACTATAATGAGTGGAATCGGCAAGGAATAAAGTAAACAGGCGTAATGATCATGATAAATTTCACAAAAAACACCTCAAACTTGACAGGTCAATCAAGAGATAAAGCAAAAACAAGAGGCCTGGAGAGAACAATCAAGGCCAGGAAAGAACAATCAATGTCGATTTAGAACAAGGAATTCCACGATGGACCATCACTTGAGTGATTATGTATTAAGGATACAATCATTGATTCTCTGATCACTGATTGGTGGATTTTAAATCGGTGCAAGTACGCAAAATTCACAGATCTTGCTCAGCTGCTTGCAAGGACACTACCTAAAATATGTAGTTGCTTTGTATTGAGACATACAAGGACACCACATGGCACAGGAAATCCATATATATTCTTGGCAATATTTAAAGATGTTTTATTCACTTTTAGCTTGAATTCTTCACATGTTTCTTTACATTTAAAATTGCTCATTCAATTTTTTCAAATTGATGATTAAGAATGTCGTCACAACAGAGTTATTGTGCAGAGATAGTAGTGTTTTTATATGGGTTATAGCAGATATAACAGATATAACATATAAAAGAAATAGAAGGGACAAAGATGAGTTCATGGTAAGTCTGAGTCCCTTCTATTTCTTGTAAGATGTGTAATGACCCGAGGGTGTCTCTGGAGAATGAGCAAATGCCGAGGATGTTGTGAAAAACAGATACAGACATGAAACAAGATATACAAGGGATATGTACTGGGAGGTTTTGGATATAGGGTATATCCTGAGGGATATATCTATATCTCCCCGAGTGACCGATATAATGCCCTATGTTGGGATTAACCCCTGTATGACCCTCATATCAAAGACTCTATCAAGCAAGCCACCAAAAAGAGCTCTGTTGGAGTAGCAATTTGCTATTCAGGGGTCCGTTTTTGGAAATGTTATAACTTATGATTTATCCACAAGTGATTGTTTGTGAAAATGTAGTTAATGGTTTTCTCTTAAATTACGATCCTACAAAAAATGAACCCCAGGGTCATTACAGATCATTTCTGAATACTCGTAAGTAAGATACAAATGAATGAGGCTCCTGTGGAGCAACAATGAGAAAATAGATGGTTAATCCCTACCTCCTTTGTGGGTAAGGGATGAACCATGTGAACCTAGTCCCAACAGCTTTTGAGCAACACTAAAAATTTAAGGCCTGGAATGACCATTCTTTAAAGGTGTTGCTCTCCGAAATTTAATATACAGGGTGGGCCAAAAGATTTCGCAACCTTTTTAGAAGGCAAAAAAAGTATCATAACATTATGGTATTTTTGGCCCACCCTGTATATATAATATATACTCGTATGGATATCAACAACTATGTGATATGGGAGTGGAATAGATAGCTGTAGTTACATCACGGCAAAATTGGTGGAGAAACTTTTTTATCAAAACATCTCTTTAATTCAATCACCTCATTTCAAATCATATCAGAAATCATGATTTCTCAAGAAAAATCTGTTGGGTACAATGTTACTATAGCAACGACAATGATTGAATTACAGCAAGGGGGATTTTGAAGTCTAGAAATGGGTCCCTGATTAATTTATGATGAATATTATGACGATCATGAGGGCCAGTTATCAAAGAAGATTCTTCAAGCATGCTCAAATAAAAACACATTAACATATTTTTGGGGAATTAGAGGTTGGATGTTAGATATTGAAGCTTGTTTAGGAATCTGTTAGGCCAAGAACATTTATTAATGTAGGCAAGATCTTACTGGGGTGTAGTGAGGGGAGGCAAATTTAGGCGAGGCTTTAGGCTAAAGGAGCTTAATTATACCTTTTGACATCAATATCAGCTTCAGTTGAAAAATGTCTGAATAAAGATATATTTGAAAGTGTAACATTTTGGTGAGTATAGCTCATACCCAAGATCTTTAATGAGATTTCTTCAGGTCCATTAGGAATGTCTTTGCATGGTTATTAATTAAGCAATCATGACTCAGATTTATGTGTAACTTAAGAGTTGTCTCAGATCATGAGAGAAAACTGAAAACTCAGTTGCTATTTGTGTTTGCACCATTTCCCAGATATAGGTGTTTATTAGGAAAATCCTGTAGAAGAATATTGTAACAAGGATTTCAGAGTGTTCCACTTACAAAAGTAGGTGAAATACACTTTTGTAAGTGGTAATTCTCTGTAAGTGGAACATACAGGGTCACATTGTCCTCTAACCCAATTTCATATTAGTGGAACACCTCACAAGTGGAACACTTTTTAGTGGAACCAAAGGTGTTCCACTAACACAGGTTTTACTGAATGTGACAGTATGAAAACAAACATTTTAATTACATTATAACCATTGATAAATAATAATACATTCACTAATTTATTCCACATTCTATCTATAATTATTTTATTATCACTTATTAATTATTATTATAATACGTAGATGTTTGTATCTGGTATTGTACACAGTTTGCCCCTACTATTATTCATATAACCCTATCCTTTGAATTTATTAATGAATATACTTACAAAGGAGTATGTTGTCCGTGTATACATTAATCTAGTATTTGATTTAAAATATTGTGATCATATATTTTATACTACAATGTACATAAATGAGTATGTATTGGTTTAATTTGTTTAAGTCACTCGCATAGGTTTGATCATTGATGTATGTAAAATGATGACAGTATTTTTGAATAATTTGCCCATTTCTTAGAACTTACGAGGGTTGTCCCAGAATTAATGCACTATATGCTCTAACTTTATCAATAATTGTTATTTTTCCACGAAATTTTCAGGGAATGTTCCTTAGAGACATCTTAATTATTCTACAAATTTTCAGTTGGACTGATAATACTATGTTGATTTTATAACAAAATCAAGTTGGTGACTTTGGGTAGGGCGGGGCAGGCTATTGTCACGTCAAAAGAAATAAAAATATGAAATAATTAATCAACAAATACCATTTTGTGTAGCGAAAAGAAGTATGCTCAAAAATACATTTTAAGATACTAAATTATTAGGAGCGCATCCTAGACTAATGGATGTATATTGCACAGTGTCCCATTTCACATGTTCTCAAAATATTGGCCGTTGCATGTTATGTACTTTTGATGCCTGTCAGGTCGAACACTCTTAGCAATTTCTTCAACCATGACTTGTGGAGCTTTTGCCTCCCATGTTTGGAGTTGTCATCCAGGGTCCAGTCATCACTTTTAAAGCTCTTCTAGTTCTATCTGGTGTATACTCCTTTTATACTTTCTTCATGGTAGCATGGCATAAGGTTGTGTGGCTGTGAGTCCAAGTGAAGTATGAAGTTGGGCCACCAAACGCAAAGCGCAAAGCCTTCTGTTATCAGTTGAGAATTTCAGCCATTTTTGCAATTTCTTGACTGCGACTGAATTTGAATTTGTGACTATTGAACTGTGGTATTATGACATCACAGCGCTAAATGTCATTATTTGTACTTGATGAACATGTTTATAATAATGAATAAATTTAACAATTTCCCAAACATTTTGATCATTTAAAAGAAAGAAATATTAATAAAATAACACTTTGGAGCTTTTCATGATTAGAAACATTGGTACCTGCCCCGCTCACCCCGACCCCTGTGTTGCTATAGCAACCATTCAAAGACTTAATATTAATGTATGATGCCGAAACTTCAGGATATAACAGATAAAACTTCAATTGTTGTTATAAGCGCCCAATTTCAACTGAATTGAAGAATATTGAAGAGTGTTAGAGCATATAGTGCATTACTTCTGGGACAACCCTCGTATACAGTAAAACATGTACAGGGTGTCCGGAAAGTAAAGATACAAATACTCTAATTTTAAGAGATTCAGTTTTTTTGTAATGAAATCGCTACAGATTGTAGAGGAACTACATTACAATACATCTAACAACTTTTATAACATATAGTCTAAATGTGTTAAAGTTACGGTTGTCATGGTTACATTGGTGAGGGGTATGCGGAGCAGTTCCATGATATCGCTAAATTGTGATAAATTGCTAAAATATAACCATTTGAAATAGTGTTTATAATTGTATTCTTATCAGTTTTTTGTTTTGTTCAATATTGTATTCCTGCTGCCATAGTATTCTCTTTAGTATAACGATATCATTGATACATATCAGAACTATGTAATGTCAAAAGTATAATCAAAGAAAAAGAGTATATAAGTGTTTAGAAAAGGGGTCCCTGGATTAATAGGAAAAGCTAGGAAAGTCAATAGTGCACCTCCACAGTCAATGCTCCAATGCACAAACCAAAGAAAACATATCTTACAATTGAATGTCTTGACATTAATCTTTTTGTACAATGGCCCATATTTCTCTGATAATGTCCCGTTGGACTTCTACATTAATGAATATGTTAAAGCAATATTTGTGAGAAGTTCAACATAAAATGAGACTCGGCTGGAAACCAATGTTATCAGCAATCTTAAAGGTTTTGTCAGGTCTTTGAATATCCGGTCAAAATGCACCGCAGCACCAAGAATGTTTAGATAGATGTTGAAAATGCATAATACTGGATACAATGAGTAATGTCAAATGATTAAATAATGTTACAGTGCTAATCCTTTTGCTGTTGTGGTACATAATTTGATGCATAATAGCAACAGACGACGGAGTGTCAAGATGATATGAACAGGAGAAAAGAATTACAAAACATAATTGTGACACTGCTCCACATACCCGCGACTCCTGTTGCCATAACAACCATAACTTTTTTATTTTGAGAAAATTTGCCATGACAGTTGCAGGATAAATTGTTACAATGTCATTCTATACACCCTGTATATTCAAACACCTCCCTAATCTGAACACCTCTCAATGTGAACACTTTTTCCTGGTCCCAAATTGACTCACATATTCAAAATAACCTTGAAATATGAACACCTGCTAATCTAAACACTCTATGTCAATCCTAGTGATGTTCAGATCAACAGGTTTAATTGTATTGCATTGAAAATGTTTGGTTTCATCAAATGATAATAAAAAGTAGAAGCATATGGTGTATCATTAAAGTGCAAT